TTGTGTTGTGTTGTGTTGTGTTGTGTTGTGTTGTGTTGTGTTGTGTTTTGTTTTTAGTTACATTACATTACCAAATCAAGTGTTGAGGTAAATATATTTTAGGCTGACTTTTTGCCGAGTGTAGAGTTACCCGGGTACGCCTTGTTATGGTTCTGTCTAATAAAATGGGAAATATAAAAATCAGAGCACTTATATGAAATTCTTTGCTTTATTCATGTATCCACTGGACGTTAATTTTCAGTCACTCCAATTAAATCAATATAAATCTTCGTAAAGTCTACCTAAATTTAAGGAGAAACTTCGTGAGCTCATACGCTCTGCACATAACCCCGCACACCTTGCGTTTTGTTCCGCGCCTACTGCGCCTGCCGGATCATGGACAGATCGAGTTTCCGTTTATTTGCTTCGAGGGAGTGCTGCCCTCCTTATGAGCAATGATGGCAGTTGTTGACGCTATATTCTAGGTCGATAGGTCCGCCGGCAAGAGATGCAACAAGGTGTCGAGTCCCACCGTTGGCGTAGTCCTAACTACCCTGTCATGCCGATCATCGATAGCCTATATACACTTTCTATCCTCTTAAGAAAGGCGTTCTTCTCCAGTGCTGTCCACCAAACCAATATCCCATGGATCAGTATAGGCCTGACTATCGCCGTGTAGATTCAGTGAGAAGGAGAAGGCGACAAGTCCCTGGTGCTGCCCAACATCTTTTTGCATGCATAGAGGCCTTCTTCGCCCTCTCCTCCACAATATTATTCCGCGATAGTTGGTGCTTTGCTTCACCAGAAAAGACATCCCATCCAGCTTAGGCTTGGACCAGTTCGAAACCTTGTATTTTCTGGTGAAGAGTACCTGATTTTAAGTTGATACTAAGCCCCACTTCGATTGCCCAAAGATGTATCAATCGTAGTGCTTGACTCATAAGTGAGCTAAGTCTGTCCACACTCCAGCAAGTAAGTTTACTTTTGAAGAAATTTGTAAACAAAAAAAAAACAAAACAAAAAACAGGAACTCCTTCATCACTATTTTACTACTTAATATCACACAGCGAATTCCGTTTGCTTATTGGTACCATCTTGGAGCCGGCGTACATTCCAATATGTATTATAAATATGAAGTATGTAGAAAAAATGCAACTTACTTGAAACTGTGAAATATTTGCACACATATAAAGTATAGATTATTGCAGCATGACACAAGTATCAGTGTTGACAATCCATCATCGTAGAGATGCAGCACATCGACTAGAGCCATAAAATCGTAACGCACATCCCGCCAGAATTCTTCCCCCATATGCTACGGATTGCAAGAAACAAAATGCTTATGTACTAAATATGTATCAAATGGTATTTATCTATATGTACAAATGTCTGTACATTATAGATATTAAAGACAAATTAATAAGGGGGTCTTTATGAGAGCAACAGAAGCCAAATCAACAATTTTAGAATTTTTTATCTATCTGTATATTTTACGCTCATCTATCGAAAAATAATGGTGATTTTGTTTCTTCCAAAAATTGTGACCCTTCTAGGGTGCAAAAGGTGTTTGATCTTACACTAAACCCTGTAAAAGTCCATGTTTTTACGTTCTTGTCCTTGTCTATAATTTCATAATATTGTTGTTTTAGGCAACCATCTGATTTTCAGGGCAACCATCTGACCTCACAAGGCTTCAAAGGGCAGTGAATGTGCCTTTTTTTCCTTACAAGAGTGTGACATTTTAAGAGTTCACTCGTAAAGGAAAAACTATGTGCATTTGAGCGAAAGTGCGAAAATGTGACATACACAGTTTTTTATAACAAACATATGGCAACGTTTCGCACTTTTAGTTTCGCACAAACGCACAGATAAAGCCCTGACTGAAATGCAAAGAGCGAGAAAACTGTGTTGTGCTGTGCTGTTCGTACATCGTTCGGCAGTTAAAGCAACAGCGCAAGCGAAGCGCAACGAATATTTGAGACCGCCCTGTGGCTGAACTGTTTGATATTTCACAGCTAAAGCAACTACACTGTTCACGCTTTTGAGCACAATAAAGCTCTAATTTTTGCCTTTCGCATTTTCGCATCAAAGAGTGAACTCTAGTAAAATTTATTTTAGAATCGAACACGAAAAGAGAAAGGGCCAATCAAAGGGCGACATTTTTTGGTAGAGACGATAATACCTTAGTGCATGTATTGCTAGAGGTCTATCTTAAAATATAGAAAAAAAATATTAAATAGTTGCCAACTGTAGGAAAATTGCATTTTAAGTAAATTGATAAGAAAGTAAATAATGCAATATTATTATTAGTTTTATTTCTTAAAATCTCTATGTTTATTATTATATTTTTTAAGTTTTGAAACCCGCTTAGAAAAGTTAACAATTCGAAAAAGTTAATTACCCTTGGGATATTTCGGTTAACTTTTTCGAGATTCTACTGCAAATATTGCAAAATGAGTATCAGGCTAAAGGGTAAAATTGCTGTCAACATTTTTTATGAAACGGGTTGCCACCTGTTTGAAAATTGTATTCAACTAAATTGATAAAATAAGCGAACTAATACAATATGGGTATTAAACTAAAGAGGTTTAGTAAAGTTTTATGTCGAAATTACGCTATAAGCAATTGAAGGGAAAAGCGAGACATATTTTCCGCAATAAGAAGAGAGAGGCCGAAATACTTGAGTGCGAAGAGCTTGAAATGCTGACCGACAAGAAAAACACCCGAAAATTTTATCAGAGGGTTAAGCGGCTTAAAAGGTTTCAAGACCAGGGTGAAATCCTGTAAGAACAACCATGACGACCTAGTGACCGATGTCCAGAATGTATGTACTTAAATTATGGAGGCAACACTTTTCCACCCGATTGAGAAAGGCAGCGGCATTGAAAGTAGTGGACAAAACGAACCCGAGCCCCCACTCGATGACGATGGAGTCGATGTAGCTGTTGGAGCTGACGGCCTGCAAGTCGTATGCAGAATATAGTCAGATGAACGCATGCCCGAGGATTGGCATTTAAATCCACCAACAAAAGTTTGGTGAGATTTCGTTTCGGCTTTGTCAAAAAACAATGTTGATTCGACTTTTGAGGTACACTGAAAAAATTCGCCAAAATTCAGTTCGTTTCGGTTCGGCCTCAATAATTGATGATCAGTCATTGTCTAATATATATGTATGTACCTTGTACATATATATTATTTTTTTTTTAATAGATGGACTTACCTGTTTTACATGTCGCTTTATACGCCAGTGCATTTGACGGAAACGTATGGCAAAACAGCGAAAAATCATGCTCAAAAATATATCCACATAGTTCCAGGCAAATGTGGACGAAATTGTAATCCACTAGAAGAAAATGTTTAATTGAAATTCAATTAATTACACAATACGATTAATACTTAAGTATGCATATTCAAAATAATCGAGCGTTTAACAATAACTATTGTCTGAACGTTCTGTTTCGGTAAAAACATCACCGAAATTTTAATCGAAGATGAGCATTTCGATTGCCCATTTTTACTTAGTATATATGCGCATATACATATGTATGCATATCGTCATCTGAAATGCAAAAAAGCTCAGCTAAATCGTCACCTAAACTTTAAAAGCCTTAAATAACAAAATTTTTTTTGCGAAAAACGATGTGGGGGCATGTAATTCGATGAAATGCGTCTTGGTTATGAAAAGTGAATTTTGGACTTTTGGTTAGTTACGGCCTTTTGTAATTCAGGTGACGATATGGCGTAATTATTGTATTTCTTAATTTATTTAGAAAAAAAAAACAAAAGTATTTGCAGTTCTATGTTCGCGAAGAATAATTGCTAAAGTCTAAAAGTAAAACTTCGGTTATAAAATATTGTCTATTGGAGATAATAACAATCATTCATTTATAGCCATTTTGTCGTATTTTCTTGCTTAAAAATATACATTTTTTTAATTCAGTAATTGAATAATAACATTTATTTTTAATTCAGAATTTTAAATTAAAAAATTTATTTTATGTTACATGCAATTAATTAAAAAAACTCAAAAGCTTATTTTTGTTTTTGGGGTTATGTGGACTATTTTCGTTTAGCACAGAAATGTAGGGGAATTTTTTTGAATCTACATAAATTATTTTTAGAATAATTTTATGGATTTGTTACATCTTTTTCCAATTTCCAATGATATACATATTTATAAGAGGTTCATATAATTATTATGAGAAGACGAAAATAATTTGCATCTTAAAATAATCGTCCGGTGAGACGAAAAACAAACTTTCCATAGATCAGTAATAATTATAGAGCAATATTTAATTTTATTTCTTATAATCGTTATGGTCTCTGTGTTAAAAATTATTTAGCTCCAGAAAGTTTTAGTTGTGTTTGGTAATATATTAAAATTACAAATCTTTTAGTTCATTGTACAAGTGTTGACTAAAATCTAACAAACTATACCGGGCAGTGATTCGAACTCCGATAAGCTAAAACGGTGTATTCTCTCTCAGGCGGCCACCGTAGAAAAGGAAAGCCAAAACTTAAGAATTGATACAATTACAAATATAGAAAAACATACATTTGTATTCACGGGAAAATACAGACTGACACCATAAAAACATGCATCTAGGTTAATGAATTCCAAAATGAATTGGAAAAAAATCGTTTTTCTGAACGCGCGGGTTTTGTTTTTACCCTACTAATTTTACATGTGAGGAGAAAAGGAAGTACAAGTTTTCAGACATATTTTTCGAAAAAATTATTCGTAGCCCGAGTCCCTATTGTCAATTCAAATATCTGAAATTGCAGATTTTAACAGTTTGTAAAGTATTTATTTTTAGTTCATTGTCTAGTTTATATAAGTATATGCGCCTTATTTTGGTTTTAAAAGTTTTTTTTTTCATCGCTTAAACTTATAAAATTCGTTGTTTTTATTAAAATTGCGGAAAATATAGAAACAACCTTACGTCGATAAATGCTCAACTTAAAAAAAAATTAGCTCTTCATTTTAGCTACTATAAGTATTATTTCTTATTCTTTTCTCGGCCGCTTTAGCTCCAAACCAAATTTTTCCTTGGCAACACTGGTAGCACGGCATATTCGTTCAATTTTGTTTACCCATTTTTAAAACTCAAAGTTGAGAACTAACACCAAAATACGCGCATATTATTGCTTTTACTCTGGTGTTATTACGTGTTCTATGAGCTTTGGATATTTAGTAGTCTACATATTAACATAAGTATTAGAGTTGATTGGAGCAGTACTGTACTTAATGATACGATAAGGAAAATTCAAAAAGTCACTGACTTATCAAACTACCCTTGTATTACATACATATATATATATATTTGCTCATATTAATTACCTCCACTAATGGTATCAACCAGGCATGGTAATTGAATATCGAAAATATATGCAAGCGTTCACGCATAAAGTAGTTTTTCCAAAAATCCACTGACAAATTACATGTCTTAATTTGAAGGTCGTTATTATAAATAGCCGAACCGATGTACACCGAATGCTCCACTAAAATTGATAGCGGGATATTATTCAAAACAAAAATAATTAAAATATAATTGTATACATAATGGGCATTATGAACAAAAACTTAGAAATTGCTGTTTCTTAAAATTTCAGATCATAAACCTAAATTTGTTTGAACAAATCGAGTAAAAAGTCTGAAATTTTAAGAGAAAGCAATTGCTTTTATTCTGTTAGTTTACCACCAGATACGCATTTATTTATGTACTTTAATTGGAAAGTACTTGAAAGTACTTCATATAAACATCTGTAAAGGGTTTTACTGCTTTTGTAAAAAGTTTTAAGTTACACGTGTCCCACGCGCGTGCCAGTGATGGGCAAAATTATAATCGCTTGATACTAACTACTAAACACTAAAAAAAAATAATTAAGTATTTCTTCTTTTTACTTGGCACTGTAAACGCCTAAGCGGTTTTGGCCGAGTTCAATCGAAGTCCCATCGAAGTCGATCAGCCTTTCCAAAGTCTGTTATCCGATGTTTCGTCGTGGAAGCCGAATTTTTTATGATAGTAAGACCAAAGACTCCTTCCTTATAGAAAAGAAAGCTGAGCTTTATTAAAGAAAAGCTGATACCTCAGAAGTAGTCTCATACTAATTTGGTTAGATCCGATCATTGGATCATGAAGAAATTAACGGTACTCTGAAATTTGTATATAAGAATTTAAGGTAGGTTGGTTTTTTGCTTACAAATTACTTATCATAATTCTTTTTGCCGTATTATTTGCTAATTGTCTTTGCTTCTGTATTTCTCTTGATCTTTATATTTATTTTTATTTAATATTTTTCCTTATAGTTGTTTAGTGTCTTTGTTTATATTTGTATCTTTCTTTTCATTCCAACTCGTTTTTTTTTTTCATTCGGCACCGTTCCCTTTTTGTCCACGTATTAGCGATATGTCTTCTTCACTATGGGGTTAAATGTATAACGAAGTCCCCTAAGAATTTCAGTAATCTTCTATCAAAATGTTTCCTACGTTGGCGGGAAGTCCACACTTAAACGTAAAAAGGTGCCAAGTTCAATTTTTTGAAATTGTTCAGTAAATACAAAACTTCAATGTAGTTCCACATTATCTGTTATTCTGCATCAAAAATTAAATTTTGAAAAAAAAAGTGGACTTGGCTTCTTTTCAACTTTAGATAGCGATATATGTTGATGGTCCTCTGCAACAACGAGACAATTCAAAATTCAAAATTAAAAAAAAAACCTTACTACTGTTATCTCTTTAAAATTAAGCGATTTCTAAGTACTTTTTTAAATTCATTATTTTTACATCTTAAAAAAAAAAACAGTGTGCCCATCACTGGTACGTATGAATCTACCTATATATGTGCATATGTATTCAGATGCATACCTGCAGCGCCAAAAAGCAAAATTGCGCCAAACCTACGCACATTATGAGTAAAGTTTCGTGATTCTGCATTGGCATAGGAGTTCTGCAGAAATACCTGCTCGCAACGATGCATATGCTTTATCATATTGGGCCATTTGCGTGCCAAATGTAAAAATGAGCTCACACTCAGAGCAGATATGATGCTGAAACTGAAAGGACCTGTGGCAAATAAATTGAAAATTTGGCATGTAAGTATGTGCACGTGCAAGGATATGTTGTTGTTATTAACTGCGGTAAAATGAAAAGCCCTCAATCAATGAAATGTCAATGTACGTCGGTACAAATACATACATACATACATACATGCATGCATGTATATGTACACAAAAAGGATTGGGCGGGCGAATCATAACTGTATCATTTGGTTTTCTTTTTTTTTGTGTAGTGTTTTTTTTTTACCCACAGTGTACAGCTTCAAGCCCAATTCGATCACGACCTTTGTTGAGAGTACCACATCGATGACCGAGAAAGTAATCAGAGTGAGGGAAAGTATTGAAATCAGTGTACACCAGCTGAAGTGGACGTGTTCTACATTGGGTTTGAGCCAAACGCCAGTCACAGGCAATGTGGCTAACAATTGTGAGATCATCATAACTATGGAGAGAGATTGATATTAAATGAAAAGATATTTATACGAAAATATTGCAAATTCACAAACAAAATTGATTTGCATTTTTTGGTATACATACATACATACATACATACATACGAACGTTCATATCCTGCTTCTTGCTACTTACACGGTCCAACCGCATGGTGCATAGTATTCGTGCTGCCGAGTGGCGCTTCATTCACCAACGCAACGCTTTTGCCCTTTGCCCTCAATTGTCGCAAATAATATTCCTCTGGTTTCAAGTGCCGCATGATGTTGCTTGCAACAGTTTTGCACATGCAATGCCACAAGCCAGCAGCTGCGTAAATTTTGCGGCCCTCTACTATAAGTGTTTGCGTTTTTCACAACTGTATTGCAATGCTACCTCGAAAACCGCAAAAAAAAAAAAAACAATTTTCATGCAAAACATGTTCATAGCTGATATTTTGCAGTTTGTAAAACGTGCAAACTAATGATTTTACTTTGATTTCGATCAGCACAACAACACGAATTGGCAGAAAAATATGTGAAAATGAAAGACAAATGCCACATGTGACAAAATCCCCTTAGAGAACATTTATGCATGTAGATTCCTACGGTGATAACGCTTTCACAGTTGAAATGATGGAGTGGCCCTTTTGTGTGCGGGTACATATGTATGTATGTATGCATGCACGTGTGAGTGTATGAGTTGGTATTTTGCTTGACAATTTTATCACTGCATAATTCAACAGAAATTGTCGATTTTTGTTTTAAAGCACATTTTCCAGGAGACCCAATTGAATCTGTTTTGTATTTGAAATTTTCCGGAAAAAAACAGACGTATTCGAATAGATTTAATAACTAGATAGCTAACACAATTTATTAGCAATAATCATGTTAGATAAAGCAAAAAATATTCCATGATAATTGTTAAGTTCCTAGGTGCATTGCTACGCCTTCTAAATTGAAAGATATTTAAGCGCCTTCAAAAAAAGGAGGAGGTTATCCATTTGTCGGAATAATTTTTTTTTATGTATGTTACCGCAAAACTTTTCACCACGTGAACCGATTTCGAGAATCCTTTTTTCATCGGAAAGGTGGTAGCCATACGGATTAGGTTTAATTACGTTCTTTTGATCATGAAGAAATTAACGGTACTCCTAAATTTTTATATAAGCATTGAAGTCGGTTGTATTTTTGAAGTGAAACTTCTTTAGCGGCGGTTGGTTGGTTGGGAGTAAATTGGCAAATTCAGCGGAAATTGCACACGGATCTGGTTGGGACGGAAATGATGCAACGGAAATGGTGCAACGGAAATGATTGGGGCTGAAACAAGTACTTCTTGTGTATATGCAACGGAAATGATGCAAAAGAAATGATGCAACAGAAATGATGTAACGGAAATGGTGCAACGGAATAGGTTGGGGCTGAAACAAGTGCTTCTTATGTGTATGCATATGGTATAAATTTAACAAAAATTTGCTAACAAAAGGTTAAAGAATAACACTTAGAAAAAGACCAATACAAGAATGAAAGTAAAGGTGACTACGTACACAAATGAGGAATAGGATAAAGGCAAAGGTAAAAATAACAACAAAAACAAAGATGCGTAAAGATAAAGGCAAAAATGAAGACCAAGGTAAATTTAAACACTTTACTTATGTATATGTAAGAATAAATGTGAAGGGGAATATGTAGCTGACAAAAATGATGAACATAGAAGTAAAGACAAAGAGGAGGATGAGGTTACCGATAAAAGCAAAGATGAAGATAGAGGAAGAAAGATTAAAATAGAGGTAATTAAAGAGGAAAGGATATAGAGTGAGATACAGAGACTCAATCTGGGAACTATTTTTGGATTTTAGAGATTTTAGGGATTCTCGAGACGCATCGATAAAATAATCGATATTTTTATCGATTTTGTTATCGATATTTATCGATTTGTTATCGATATTAACCGATTTTGTTATCGAAATTCATCGATTTTGTTATCGATAATTATCGATTTTGTTGTCGATATTTATCGATTTGGTTATCGATAATTTGACTTTGTTAGCGATATTTATCGATTTTGTTATCGATATTTATCGATTTTGTTATGATATTTATCAATTTTGTTACCGAATTTAATATCGATATTTATCCGATTTTGTAATCGATATGTATCGATTTTTTTATCGATATTTATTGATTTTGTTATCGATATTTATCGATATTTTTCGATTTTGTTATCGATGGAAATCGATTTTGTTATCGATATTTATCGATTTTGTTATCGATATTTATCGATTTTGTTATCGATATTTATCGATTTTGTTATCGATATTTATCGATTTTGTTATCGATATTTTTATAGATTTTCTAATCGATTTAGCTACCAATGGTAATATCGATGTTGCTATTGAAATTTTTATTGAATTTGTCATCGATTTAGGTATCGGTATTTTGATGGACGTTATAATCGATTTTGTTATCGATAGAGTATAATGATAAAAATGAAGATAATGTAAAAACAGAATAACATGAATGTTATTAAAACGAACAGTGGTAAAGGTAGCGAAAAAATATAACCTTAAGCAAAAGCAGATGTGTGTATGTATAGATAGGTAAGTAACGTAAGTTTCACTTCTACAGTGTGGCCCAGGCGCACTTACTTTTTTTTGTTTAAAATTACGATGGGTTGGCTATTAAACTCAAGCAACATATGACCATTAATACATTTTTTACCGCGATAATGAATCCCTTGCGCTAAATGCTCCAACAGATTTTCTTTCATAATGGTGTCAGAAAGTCCGCATCAATCCAACGCCGAATTAATTTTGAGAGGAGAGAGTACAGAGACTTACTTGACGCATTTAAAAGAGAAGTGCGAAAGGCAGATAATAAATCCTGAAGGGACGGACTTCTGTGATAACTTGGAGGGAACAAACGAAGTGGGCAGCCTTAGGAAACTCCTAGCTAAGATTCCAAGCACACCCTACCATATTCGTAAGCGTTGAGGGGACTGGACATAGTCAAGCGAGGAGTGGGTAGAAGACTTGGTCAACACCCACTTTCCGGGATACATGGACTCGACAGACCTCGATAGTGTGAAAGTGTAGCGGGAAGAATCCCGCCAAACGCCGAAACTTCATACAAAGTGAAATTGTCAATTAACGGTTTTAAGCCCTACGGAACATTTTCAATACCTATTCGTCCTGCTGTACAAAAAAAAAAATATGTTATTTTCAATTCTACACCCACATTGTTATTCTACATTGCACTGAATTAAAAAATATTCAAATTTCAAAGTCCTTTCAAAACATCCCGATGTCAGAGAGAAAAACTAAGTACGCAGTTTCTTATATTTGGCCCCTAATTTGACAAGTATATTAATTTTTTCTTGTGTGTTGAAATTTTTTGGAAAGGGAAATACCTACTTACATACGTACATATTACGGTGGTCTCAAAAATTCACATCTAAATTTCACACGAAAATTTCTGAATTTTATACAAAATTTTAAATAACGAAAAAATTATAAATTTGACGTGTGCCTAATCAAAAGGTGGTACAAACTCAAGGGGCACATCTACGAAGATTACATAACTTAAAAAAAAATTAGAGAACAAATTTTACTTTTTAAATAATCGCTAAATTGGTAAAAATTCGGACTAAAATTCATAAACTCGCTGTGTTATAGCTGCTCAAAATTGTGTAGAATTTTTTCAAAATTGTTTTATTAAAATTTTCAGTTGCTAGACCCCTGATTTTTTTATTATTTTAACTTATTTATATAAATTGATAAACTCGCTGTGTTATAGCTGGTCAAAATTGTGTCGATATTTAGATATTTTTTTTATCAAAATTTTCCAAACCCAATTTTCGTGGATGTCTTTATATTTTACGTAAACCAAAATAAATTAGTTCCCAATGACTTTGGTATGCTTAAGGACCACCCTAATACATCTGGTTCATTACAAAACGGAATAAGTAAACATTTTTCGCAACTGTCTTCTCTAGGTTTTTGTAATCTTCTTATTTTTAACGGATTTACTTACTACCTTTTGGATCTAAGTCCTAGTTTCCATACGGTGCGTATTTTTTCTCAAGAGTATACTGACAAGTTTTATCAGCTCGCCAGATACATATTTGTTATAGGCCCCGACGTGAAAAAAAAAATGGTTTCGTTCGAACTTACTATGTAATTGTAAATGTTTTAGCTGGATGATTAATGTGACAAACTTTAAGCACAAACTTTTTGGGTAAAAACAGCGTTGAAATTCTTTAAATTTATTTGCCAATATTTTCGCTGTCACTTACTTTACCACAACATGAGTAACAAACAGGCTAAAACCACACATATACACATATACAATAAGATTTCATGTTAAAGACAACCATTCGCCTTCCAAAAGTCACTTTTCCCACAATCCTCCCTTACGTTCAAGCCTGCACCATTCTTCTGAATTCACACAGATTCTGTTTCGTATTCAATCGGGTTGCAGTAATTTGTTATCTGCTGGATGGAGCCTTTATTGATGACATCTGTAACCATCACCTCATAAGTAAAGATTGTGCTAGCCATCTGCAGTCAATAAAATGTGGAAAACAACAGACCAGAAGATGACATAATAACATCCTTTTAATAGACATTTACGACAATAAAGTCAAGCCCAAAGAGCTGAACAGTAACGAGTGACCTTTATCATATGTACTATATATGCATGTACATACATATCTACATACTTAAGTACATAAATATATTTACCAACTCACCGCTAAAATTAGTTGTCGCGTTATAAAGAAAAAGCCACAGCCAGACCAAGCCGTTAAATCGAAGGCCAACTGCTCACTGAACCGTTGTGCCTGCAAGAGATTATGGCAGAGAGAATAAATCCTAAGCTCACAAAGGCGCAAATAAATATTCACACATATACACAAACTTATATAAAAACAATGCATTAGTTTATATTCGAATAGAATTATTTAATGAGTTTGCCAAAGACAAACGCAAAAACCAAAAAACAAAAAACTAACGTAGCAAAGTGAAAATGTTTGTTAGCGATAGTGAATGTGAATATGAAAGTGATTGTGAACGTGGCAATGACTCATGGCAATGTCAAAGCCATTGACACTCATTATGATTTCTAATATAGCATAGTTTGGGTCGTACTCGTACCTCAACACACCACGATGCGCTGGGTATACTGCGCAGCGTCACTAAAATTCGTTTACAGTAATCATTAACAGAGGAGGCCATGAAAAGCGTAAGAATGGTACGAAATATGGCGAAAAAGAGTGAATACCAAA